CAGAGATCAGTTTTGCCTGGTTCTGTCCAGATAGTCTGCCATATTCCGACTACAGATACAAGAGAAATAAAAATTTTGAGGGAAGGAAGTGGGGTGGGGATGAAGCAGATATTTTAGACCCATTTCAGTTTGGCTTTAGGCCTGCAACAGCTCCCATTGCTCTCATTGGTTATTGAGAGAGGGGTAGGCGAGTTTTCCCCTGTGGATTCTTCCCAGCCTTTCAGTGGTTTTCTAATCTATACCATTGACCGTAGTATCCTCCTGAAACAACTCTGTTGGGTTGGGGGTGGGGTTGCACTGTTATTAAGGTTCCCACTAGAGAACAGCACTAGAGAACAACAAAATTCCCCTTCTTCACAACTGTTAATGTTACAGAATCTCTGACCTTGAATGAGGAAAGTTCCAGCCTTCAAATTATTCTAATTACCTGCCAAAACTTCCCAGCAGCAGGAGAAGTGTCCTGTTCTTCTGTTCTGGTTCAGTTGTTGTCCCCCTAAGTAGCAGGAGATTAGAGGTGACAAGTAGCTGGGGTCTTGAGTTAACTGAACCAATGTCAAGATTAATCCACTGGCTTTTACATTGTGTGTTCGTTGCAATGTTTAGACAGCCAGTTTAATATAAAAACACTGCAAGTTAAGCCAACTTTAGGTAAGAAAAGCTTTTTGCCATTGAATCTTGCAACTAATGAATAAGCTAGGCTCTTTTAACCAGGCTTTCTTTGTGAATTGCAGGCACAAAATGGTAAACTTTGGAACATTTTGCTAACTCCTTGTGCATAAGTTGGTGCATATTTGGGAAGAAAACTGGGTGTGTTACAAAATGCACTCTGGAAGATTGGTTGTTTGCAGGAATAGCCTCAGCGGTTGTGGTACTGCCTTTTCATGTGGGGAATGGATATGATAATTACAAGTTGTCTGTCAGGGGGTCCTGGCCAGAGCAAGGATAAATGACTCATGTCCTTTTATAGAGTCAGGAGGGAAAGGGCAGCAGACTCTTAAGCAAACAGGGTTCCTGCAGGGTTATTCAGAAGGCACTTGAGGACTTTGGGAGTAACCCCTTTACCCCAGCCAGCCATTTTTATGCAGCAACTATCCTGAGATTCTTTTTAAAATGCATTCACCTCTGTCTCCTGAGGTGTTCTTGGCCAATAAGGTTAATCTCAGGCTGGAGGTATTGGGGATTGAACCTGGGCCCTCTGCATACCCCCGAGCTATGACTGTCCCTCACTGTACCTCAAAAAGTGGTTCCTGACTCTCTGCAAACACAAACAGGGAACATTTGTTTCCTGGAATGACAAGGAGAGGCCAGATCCAGAATTATTTAGCAAACATAATATAAGTAGGTATTTCAAGGAATAGGGTGGGGGAAGAGAGTCATTCAATGGACCAGCTTCAGTTACTGAAGTTGCATTTAAAAAACGGGAGAAATCAGCTGCTGAAAGGCCTGTGGTGAAGGAGAGGCTGGCACAGAGGATTTGACTGCGCTGGGGCCTCGTTTCATTTAACTATGAAATCGGACGTGACCGATTGATTGCTACTCAGTGCCAGAACATGATATTGATCTGCTGCTGGGAGCTCTCTCCATCTGGTTGTTTGCTTGTCCTCTGCAATATGTTCCTTAAATTGTGCAAATTAATAAGGCGGGAGGAATTACAGGTGCTCATGGCTTGCTAGTAATTGGAAACCAGCTAATTATTTTTGTATGCCATTATTGTGTACCTGTCTAATTCTGATCGCCCAGGACTGTTCAATACCAGTGAAATGAGCTAACCAACTGATTTAAATATTGGCAATGTGTTTAGTTATTGTTCTCTTCCAGAAAGCAACAGCCTTCTTGCTTGCACTTTGGGCCCTGCCCATTTAGAAGCTGCATAGATGCATATTGCTTGCCTCCTGTTTCAAAGAAAAGAATGCACAGGCTCCAAGAAGAGAGGACTCCAGAGGGTGAAAGAAAAGACACTGCCTTAGTTATCTGCCATGTGAAGAAACAAGCAATAAATGGTGGGATAAGTCTGCCAAGCTAGCCTAGCCCTATACAGTATAGGAGCTTACCCTCTGAGGAGGCTACCAGGGTGTCAACTGGATTTTCTGTGGCCAGGACATCTCATGGGACTAGGCCCTTAACTCTATTGGCATACTCTAAACCAGGCATCCCCAAACTCGGCCCTCCAGCTGTTTTGGGACTACAACTCCTACCATCCCTAGCTAACAGGACCAGTGGTCAGGGATGATGGGAATTGCAGTCCCAAAACAGCTGGAGGGCCAAGTTTGGAGATGCCTGCTCTAAACAAAGTAAACTACTGACAAGAACCCATTTCACTGAAGGCAAACCTTGCATAAGAACCAGGCAGGCTAGCTCACCTGAGACCCAATGTAAAAAACCCCACTCCTTTGGTCCCAGAGTTTTCTGCTGTGAATTGAACATCAATTTCACAACATCAATTGGTACTTCAATTAATTACCCTATTAATCAATAATCACTCCCAATTCAAACAAATGGGGTTTGTTGTTCCTTTCAGGTGATGGGCCTTTCTTCTGTGGATGGTGAGCGGGGTACCCGATAGAGGCAGCCAAGGACAAATCAGCCAGCAGCTGATCTGCCTTTGCAGGCTGCTCCTTGCTGTGCTCGCTGTGATGCAGCAAACACAAACTGTTCCCAGAGGCTGCTGGCAGGGCAGTGTTTGATACTGCATTTTATTCCCAGGGATCTTTGTGGGAACCTGCCTGGAAAGAAACAGAGACAGCATAATTTCCCTTCCTTTCCAGGGGCTCAGGGTAACACAGCTGCAGGCTACAGCAGTACGTAGTGCCTTTTGGACCGGAACAAAGTTTTCCCCACCCCCCTGTGGTCAGATCTTCTGAGTACTGGAAGGATTTGAAGCATGGGGAGTTTTTTAGACACTTTAAAGCACTATAAAAACATTATTATTCTACATTGTCCCTCGAAGTGCAGACTGCCTTGATGGCTAGGAGTGCTGGTTCCCATCTACAGCTGGTTCACCAGCTATGGCTTCTTTCGGACAGAGATGACTTCGCCACAATACTCCATGCTCTGGTTACCTCCAGACTGGATTACTGTAATAGATGGTTGCCTTTGAAGACAACTAGGAAACTTCAACTGGTCCAAAAGGGCTGCCAGTTCATTTTTGGGCTCAATTGAAGATGCTCACACTACTTATTTATTTCATAAAATTTACATAGTTTGATTGCAAAAAACAAAAACAAAAAACCAAACCTGAAATCAGTTTACAACAAAACTATGAAATTATCAGTAAAAGCAGTTAAACACCAACTATTTAAGGATTCAAAAAACCTTGATGAGTCCAAGATGCACCCCCACCTTGTTATTTGGAGAAGATAACATTTGAAACTGGTCTCTTTGGCCCACATTTGGTCCTGCCAGAATATCTTCCTCTCTCTATACCATCATTATTCAACAGCTTTTGCTGCAGGGCACAGGGAAATTTTTTTCCTACAGCAAAGGCAACATGAACTCTGCAGAGCCTCATGCGAACATCTCTTTCCCCTGCCCACTTTCCACCCTGTGACAAAATGCAGGCTCCACCCCACGGTTTCAGTGCCTGCCAGCTGTTTCCCGCCTCTTGTTTTGTTCACCATCTCATGTGATGAAGAGTTCCGGAGAGCTCAATAGGATCGTGCCCAATTTTGTGACATTTTGGTTGGCCTAATATATGGCCTTAACGTGGATTATGGGTTTCTTGCTACCTGTTTCTGGATATGGAATAAAAAGAAGAGCCATGGCTCACACCAACCTTGGTACCAATAAGGTGTTAAGAGATGCAGCCTGCCAGCCTGTTATCCAGAACTGGGAGTGGAGGCCAGTTATTTGAACATAGCCTGGATGATTATTTCCTTTTGCCTATGGCAATTGTGATGGACCAGAAAATCCAAGAAGAAAAATAAACTGCACAAAGGCACAAGGGTTGATCTCTTCAATTCCGGGGGTTTTGCTTTTACAGCTTATCATTTTGCTTCTAATGAAATTTTGAAAAGCAACTGCGGCTGCAAAGGGCTGATTGATTTATGTCCTCTCATTCCATTTTTTCCCATGAAGAAAAAAACCCCTGTACCGTTTTGTAATGCCTATGGAATATACAGAAGGTGAACTAGTTGCAAGAATCCACTGGGCTTTCAGAATTTGTTTTCAGCTGAAAAGGTATGTGCACTACTAAAATAGTGAAACAAAATGCAAGAAGCCATCAGCTTCTTCCAGGGAGCAAAGCTTGCAAAATCTGAAAATCTGAATTGTGGTCAAGATGCAAATTAATGTATGGTGCATTATATGCAACCACCTCTTGCAAATGACTGGAGATATTGGTAGAGACTCATGTAGTTTTTGTACAAGTAGCGATGTCTTTCAATCTTTGTTAGAAAGTTGGAGGCTCAATATGGGGGAAATATTAAAGTATTCTACTTTTCAAAATGGAATTTTAAGTCTTCACAGTTCTCCCAATGGAGGGATGTAGAAAGCATCCCGAAAGATCAGTATTGGGACCACAGTTTTTTAACTTGTTCCTAAATCACCTGGTGTTAGAGATGAACAGTGAGGTAGCAAAGTTTGTTGATGATACCCAATTATTCAGAGTCGTTAGAAACAATAATGGATGTAAAGAAGCTCCAAAAGAATTTTTCCAAACTGGGTGAATGGGCAGTAAATGAAATTCAATGTAAACAAATATAAAGTGATACACACCAGGGCAAAAAATTCCTAACTGCACATATGCCTGTGGGGCCCTGAACTGGCACGGACTAACCAGGAACAAAGCCCCGGAGTCGTAGTCAATTAAAAAGATGTTGACTCAGTGTGCAGCAGCAGCGAAAAATATAAATTCCATGTTTGGAATCATTAGGAAAGAATTGAAAATAAATTATCCATATCATGTTGTAAAGCAAATCTGTGGTGCAAACACACTTGAAATACTGTGTACAGTTCTGGTTGCTCATCTCAAAAAGGATTTTATAGAGTTGGAAAGAGGCAACCAAAATTATCAAGGGGATCATTGCAACATTTGGGCCTTTTTCATTTTAAAGAAAAGGCAAGTAAGAAGAGACATGATAGTGGCGTATAAAAATATGCATGGTATAAGAAAATCGATGGGTATATGTTCTTATCCTTTTTATAGACACTATTTATTTAGAGCTGACTGGAGTATCAAGCATTCAATGTGGACGGAAGAGGTTCATCTGGAGTTGGTTGATAAGGGACAACTTTGCCTTTGTCATTTTCAACATGTGCCCACCAAACACAACCATTTTCCATTTCTTCTGCTCTGGCTTCTAGGGTCAGAATGGCAGCATAGCCATGGGAGACTGGAATTTCCTGGGCGGGATTTTGGAGGAAGTCCACATCCACTCTACCACGATTGGCAAGATCTGGCTGACCATCCTCTTCATCTTCCGGATGTTGGTCCTTGGCGTGGCGGCCGAAGACGTGTGGGACGACGAGCAAGCAGACTTCATTTGCAACACGGAGCAGCCTGGCTGCAGGAACGTCTGCTATGACCAGGCCTTTCCCATCTCCCTCATCAGGTACTGGGTCCTGCAGGTGATCTTTGTCTCTTCGCCCTCCTTGGTCTACATGGGCCACGCCTTGTACAGGCTGAGGACCCTGGAGAAGGAGCGGCAGAAGAAGAAGGCCCAGGTGAGGGCTGAGCTGGAGGCGACAGCCCCAGAGAAGGCGGAGGAACGGCGGAGACTGGAGAAGGAGCTACGGCAACTGGAGCAGAAGCGCCTGAGCAAAGCGCCCTTGAGGGGCTCACTGATGTGCACCTACCTGGCCCACATCCTGATGCGCTCTGCCCTGGAGGTGGCCTTCATGATGGGCCAGTACCTGCTCTACGGCTTCCAGCTGGAGCCGCTCTACCAGTGCCGCCGGCCGCCGTGCCCCAACGTGGTCGACTGCTTTGTCTCCAGGCCCACCGAGAAGACCGTCTTCCTGCTCTTCATGCAAGCCATCGCCGTCGTGTCGCTCGCTCTCAACGGCCTGGAAGTCGCCCACCTGGCTTGCAAGCGCTGCCGGGCGGGCTCCTGCGGCGCTTCGCCCTCGGCCCTCGGGGGCAGCCCACGCTCCGCCCTGCTGGGCCAGCAGCCAAACCCCCCGCCCTGGGGACCCCGCCCGGACGACCGCCTCGCCCAGGGCCCACCACCCGCCGCCGACGAAGCCCACCCACCGCCCGGCCCTCGCAGCCCGACACGGAGCAGCAGCAGCACCAAAGAGAGCGGCCCCGGCGCCGCCGCAGCCCAGGCGACGGCCGGCTCCTCTTCCTCGTCCCGCTCGCCGCCGCCCGCCAACGGTGCCCGGCGCGGCTCCTGCAGCGGCGGCGACTCGGGCAGCGCCGTCTCCTCGGCCACGGCGGCGCCGAGCACGGCCGGCTCCCCGCCCTCCAGCACCGGCAGCGAGCGGGGACAGCAGAGCCCCCAGGAAGGGAGCTTCCAGCCCGGCCACGGCCGGACTCGCGCCGCCGCCGAGGGGAGCCAGGCGGGAGGCTCGGCTCCCTGCAAGGGCGGCAGCGGCGGCGGCGGCAGGGCGAGGAGGAGCGGCAGGAGCGGCGGCCCAGGACTCCCCCCGCCCCGGAAGGAGGCCTCGGCCGGCGGGGGCAGCCACAGGCGGGCGCCCACGGACCTCCGCGTCTGAGCGCTGCTCCTGGAGGGCGGGGCTGCCTTGGGGCCTTTGTCTTCCCCCTCCAGGGAAGGGCGGGATCTGCGGGGAGAGGCAGCACAACCATAGAGGTACGAAAAAATAGAGTGCCCTCTTGCTCTTTCTTCTCCCCTGCTGCCTCTGCGGGGAGAGGGGATCTCCTCGGCCGCGTTCGACCTTCGCCTCCACACACCCTTTTTCTCCCGTGGCGGGCGCCGCCTCCAGGACAACGTGCGAGAAGGGTGCAGCGGAGCCACAGTGAACGTGGAGCGTGTACGTCTACCCGTCTAAGTCTATGATGGCGTCGGCAAGAGGAGCGCCGGTCTCCATGGCGACGCGCGGACGCCGCGTCGCTTACAAAGGGTGCGAAGCGCAGGCGCAGTCTAACTTCCGGCTCAGGCGGCGGACCCCATGGCGAATTACAAGGTGGGGAGCCCGCGGAGGGGGAAGGAGGGAGGGAGAGATGGAAGGAGGGGCGGGCGGGGCAGCGCGGGAGCCCCCTCGAGCCCCTGACTCCCCCATTCTCTCCCTTACAGCCCGCCGACTCCAAGAGGGAGCAGTTCCGCCGCTACCTGGAGAAGTCCGGCGTCATGGACAGCCTCACCAAAGGTAAGCCGGGCAGGAGGAAGACGAAGAGGAGGAGGAGGGCAGGGACGGAGCTCAGTAGGCAGAGCGCCTGCCTGGCATGCAGAAGGTCCCAGCTCCAGTCTTGCCTGAAACGCTGGAGAGCTGCCACTGCCAGTCTGTGCTGACTATGCTGTGCTAGACGGACGAGTGGTCTAGCTCAGTATAAGGCAGCTGTTGCCTATGTTCCCAGGGGGCAGAGAGCCACTCAGCCTCCTCTCTCCTTTCCTCCCTCTCTCTCTTTTCTCCCCACAGTCCTGGTGGCCTTATACGAAGAACCGGAGAAACCCAGCTGTGCCTTGGAGTATCCTTCACTTGCCTGGCCTACTTGATGGGGATGAGAATAATGGGGGGAGAGGGGAGCCCTGCCGAGCTAGGGAAATGGATTCCCACAGCAGCTGAGTACAGCCCTGAGCTAGCCCTGAGTCCCTGGTTCTCCTATAGGATAAAGTGCTGTGGCCCCAATTACGAGGCTCACTAAAGGGCTCCTTTCAGCTCAGCATGACTCACTATTTTCAGGAGTAAACCTGACTTTGGTGGGCTGTAATCCTAAAAACAAGATGGCAGCACCTGAGTTAACTGGCATAGTTTAGAATTTGGTGAGTAGCACAGCCTGCAGCTCATCAGTTGCACAGTGAAGTATCATCCAAGCAAGCAAATAACTTAACTTTTGGTTAAAAGCTTTATGAAACATCATTTAGGAGCTACTGCTCCAGAAAATCCTGAAGTGGAAGCCCTTCGCTTGGAAGTGGCAGAGATGAAAGAGAAGTATGAAGCCATGTTGGAAGAAAATAAGAAACTAAAAGCAAAGGTAAAGCGTTCAGTGTTTATGGAGTGCAAAGCTCATCCAGGCAGTTTCCTGCTGCTGACCCAGGGCCCATCGCACCCATGAGGCAAGGTGAAGTGACTACCTCAGGCAGCAGGACCCACAGGGGCAGATCCAGCCTCCAGGGAAGACATTGTTTGTTGCTGCCGCCACCACCATCACTGTGAGAGCATTAACAGCTGCTCCATGCTCCTTGGAGGCTGGATCTACTGACTTCTTGGCAGCCCTCCCCAGTGCCACCTCTGTAGCAGCTTCTTGGCAAATAAGAGGTGCTGCTGGTCTCCTTCCACCCTTGTTCCCAATGTACATCTTTATTGTCCCCTTATTCACAATGTAATCTTTATTGTCATCTTGTTGAAATTCTAGCAACTGATACAAAAGTCAATCAGATCTATACTTTTAAAATCACAATTTCTTTATAAAGGTAGCTTAGTAACTTGTTTGGCAAGCAAGCCAAAGGACTATTATGCACTGCTAATGTATTCACACTAACAAGAGTGTCAACCCATAGCATACTTTTTTGACACAACAAAAATGATCTGAGACTTAATCAGGGTTTTTCTCTTTGCAGCTCGCTCAGTATGAACCACCTCAAGAAGAGAAGCGTGGGGAATAAGATCCTTTTGTATTACTTGAATAAAAGACCCTGAAGCACACAAATCTAGTGTTCCTGACTCTTGCAGTAATAAGTCTCCTTCATATGCTTTTGTCAACATGGTGACTATTATCTTTCAATACCTTGTCTTGAAAAAATAGAGAACACTAAATAGAAAAGCACTGTTTAAAAGTGGATCCATTGTACAGCAGGGCAATCTTTCTATTTTTTTTGTTGGAGGGTTGAAAGCTTTTATGAAAGACAAATAAGGGTACAGACATTGGTGTGGCGAGTCATAGAACTGTCAGGTTGGAAGAGACCCCAAGGGTCATCTAGTCCAACCCCCTGCAATGCAGGAATCTCAGCAAACATCCATGACAAATAGTCATCCAACCTCTGTTTAAAAACTTCCGATGACTTGGACTTGAATGCCACTTAATATTCCTAGGGTGAAGCTAACTTCTCTTAGAACAGGAGCAGCAACCCAAGATCCTCCTGCAATTCTCAATTAAGACTGCTTAGAACTGTAATCTTAATTCTTTTTGGCCAGTGAAAGAATCAACATGTAGTAATTGTAGCCCAGTGCAAGGAGACCATGAGATTAAGGTCGCAAGTGGGATGCTGGAAGTTTCAGCTATTCCTCCATAGAAAATTCCCGGTCATGCTGTCCGTGGAAAGGGGGAAGGAGTGGGAGGGCTTGGGGGTGTCAGTTTATTGGCTTCCACGGCCGTAGCGCACTTTCTCAGGATAACTTTCGAATGGGTGGAGGCCAACCCCCCCCCGCCGCGCCGCTTCCGCGCGGTTCCAGGGCGGTTCGCGACGCCGAAACAAGGACATCCTAAACGTTCGATGAATTTGCTGCTGCTGCCGCAGGTGACACAACACTGAATGCAAGGCCGCCACTGTTTCTGCTCCCTTGACAAAACCAGGAAGTCGCCCGGAAGGCGGATCCCAGGTGGGGGTGGGACTAGAAGAAGAAGAAGACGCGCCATTGGGCGAGGCGAGGTCTGCCATCGGACGTCATCAAAAGGCGCCCCTTCCTTACCGGACAGGTAGCTGAAAGCACGGTCCCCGCGCGCCCCCCTCCGGTCACGCGCCGCGCTGCCGTCTCATTTTCGGCCAATGGGAATGCCTCTTGCTCCTGCGGGCCAATCGGAGCGCGAGGTGTTGGGAGGTGGGGGCGGGCTCAGGAGCTGTCGGAGTGGGGGGCGCCTTTGGCAGCTCGTGATGGCGGCCCTGCAATTCGGGGCGGCGGCGGGTCCTGGTGCGGTCGAGGAGCCAGCGTCGGGGGCTCTGCCCGGCGGGACCCTCGGGGCGGCGGCAGCAGCGGCGGCGGCGGATTCCTTCCCGAAGGACTTCGGCTACGGCGCGGAGGACGACGACGACGAGGAGGATGACGAAGAGGACATCGATGGCGGGGCCGAGCTGGGCGGCGGCAGCGGCGGCGGAGGAGGAATCATCGGGGGTCCTGGCGGGAGCGGCGGCATAGGAGGCGGCGGGGGCAGCAACTGCGGGCTCGGCTCGGGCGGCGGAGCGGGCGGCGACTCCTCCAAGCAGCCTCGGATCTTGCTTATGGGGCTGCGCCGCAGCGGGAAATCGTCGATCCAGAAGGTGCGCAGGGCCTCCCGCCCCCTCCTCCCTGGCGTGGGGTCGTGTCCGGAGCATCCCGGGGGCTTCGGGACAGCGACGAGGGAGGAGATCGAAGTTTAGGGTCGGACTAGGACCTGAGAGGAAACCAGGGTTCAAACTCCTTGAGTGATCTTGGGGAGCCAGTCATTGTCACTCAGCGCAACCTACTTCACAGGGTTGTTGTGGGGATAAAATGGGGAGGGGGGAGCATATGCGCCACTTGAAATCTTTAGAAGAACGGTGGGATATAATTGGGTGTATTGTTATTAACAATAATAGTCACTCATGATTGGGGAGGGCAGGGGGACTAATCTGGTGGAGGGAGCCTGCAGGGGTATAAGCAAGATCTCTCTTTTCTTCATGCCCAAGTGGAACAAGGTAAGTTCTTACCCTAATACTCCACCGTTCAACCTGTCATTCCACATCAAGATGTCTACAGGCCTGACATTTCTTTACTGGCTCCTCAAGGGAGCATCATAGTTGGTGGTTCAGGCAAGAGTCTTGGGAGAAAGATGCAGTTTCAGGTTCTCAGACCTGATCCTCACTGAGAAGGGGGGAGTTGTGCCTCTTGTTATTTTGGAGATAAAATGGATGGGTGGAGGAGAGAACAAGGATTCTTGAGTTCCTTAGTGGAAGGACGGATAGAAATGTAAAACAGCAAAACAGTAAATAATGGTTGTATGCTCTCTATTGCAAACAGGTGGTGTTCCACAAAATGTCTCCTAATGAAACCTTATTCTTGGAGAGTACCAACAAAATCTATAAAGATGATATTTCAAATAGCTCCTTTGTGAACTTCCAAATATGGGATTTTCCTGGACAAATGGATTTTTTTGATCCAACGTTCGATTATGAGATGATCTTCAGGGGAACTGGAGCCCTCATCTATGTTATTGATGCACAGGTCATTATGAAGCTTCACTTTGGGGAACAGAGTAGGTTGCTCTGTGAGTGGTGGGGAGGATGTACTGGGGATGTTGCAAACAATGATCCTGAACATAAATATCAAGTGTTGAAGTAGCTGTAGTCTGTCTGTTGTTATATTTTAAACAGGTCACAGCTCAGAGTAGATTACAACCTTTAAAATACTGGTAACGGCAGGAATGACATTGTGCAGGGGCATTACCATATTAGATAGCAATACTACTGAGTAATTTGGGCAGTGTTAAGTAAGGTAGAACACAGCTCAAGCAAACAATCCAGCATTTAGAGACCAGTTTGTGGTCCAGTTTCTGTAACAGTATTTTTAGGCTTTGGGATGAGATTTGGTCAAGAATAGAACTATTTTGATTCTGAATTATCCTTGGGATTCTCACAAGGTCTGTTTCTATTATAGTAATTGTAAATTGTAAATATCAACAAGCAGACATCACTACGTTTCTTAGTAATGTATGGCCTGTACATTTAATTCTGACTGAAGAATGCATATTATATTTTGCTTACAGGATGACTACATGGAAGCATTAACCAGGTTGCACATTACAGTCTCAAAAGCTTACAAAATTAATCCAGAAATGAACTTTGAGGTTTTTATTCATAAAGTTGATGGTTTGTCAGATGATCATAAAATAGAAACTCAAAGAGATATTCATCAGAGAGCCAATGATGATCTTGGTGATGCTGGGCTAGAAAAACTTCACCTTAGGTAAGTGGACTTAATTTGGACACAATTTTCTCACATTTGAGACCAAATCTGGAGAAGCTGCATTTTTGAGGGCTTGTTTAATGCTGGGACCATCACCTGAATAATCAGTTGTTGTTGTTGGCATTCGCTTGTCTCGAGAGACAATGAAGTGTGCCTACGGGGATGAAGTCAAATCACTGTGCAAGCTTGGGCAGTGTGTATGGAGGTGGTGGGCTGCATAGACGACAGGACCCCGACCCCCCCCCACCTTGCTGATGTTGTCCAAAGAAAAGCAGAACAGGATGTTTGGCACCAACTTGGGTGCAAGAGTTGCAAGGTGTCATCTAACTCCACTTTGGATTTATGTTGTGTTTATTCCTTAGACTTTTCTTCTCCCTCAAGGCAGCGGAGGTTTAAGATCAGAATTTTCCTTCTCCTAGATGGCCTACCTTCCCAGGTTGATGAGCCCCATCTGCCCCTCACTTCCCTCTACAGCACATGCAGGGTGTATGTGGTGTTAGGGGAGGGGTAGTACCTCTGGTGCGGTGCATGTCATGCTCCTTCTAAGGTAGTTTGTCCGCCTTTGGTCCTCACCCTGCACTCAGCTCTCACCTGTGGCCCCTAGAAGCTGTCAGCATGCAACTGCAGCCACATCCCAGGAACAACTTTTAACTGGTTGGCTAAACCAAGTGAGGGTAGCCTGTGGGTCTCAAATCCTCAGTTGAGTTAGGGACTTCCCTTGCATGCAAATACTGGCTATGAGTGGCTAAGACCAATAGTGAGTCTATTGGTCAAGAAGGGGTCAGCTGTTACTTGACTAATAATATGAGACTTAATCTACACATGAATAAAGAGGTAGTTCTGAAGGGGGGCATTTGCATAATGTTAGAAGAGGTATTTTCTCTTCCATACAAAAAGGAGGAATATGTAGTTCAGGATGGTACTAATCATTTGCAGGTTTTGTGAGTAGTTGTGTTTAAAAATCATTAGTCTCTGTTGATTATTGTTGGCATCTTCTTAAAAAGTGTACATTCAATTTAACCAGACATTATGGAAATTACAATTTGTGCAAAACGTATTAGCTAGGGTGCTGATAGGGTAGTGGGTCAAGCACATCTAATTCCCATTTTACAACAGTTAACATTGTCTGCAGATGTTGTTCTGGGCCTAAATATGGCACTCACACTTAGGTTTAAAGCCCTTGATGGCTTGGGCCCCAAATATCCACGAGAACACCCACTCTCATGTGTAGACCTATCCATGCCATGAGATCTGCAGATGAGGCCTTCCTACTGGTCCCTATGGGGGAAGGCTCTTTCCAGTAGTGGAAATGTTTAGGGGGAAGGCTCTTTCCAGTAGTGGAAATGTTTAGAAAAAGGGTTGCTCCTTATTGTGTGCAATAAGGAGAGACTGCAAAAATATTTAAACTGCTTTTGCTCTTTGTTCTCTCCCCCCTCATGGTTTCTTTGAGATGCAAATTAGTCTTTACCTTGAAAGGTATCTTTGGAAGCAATGATCTCATCACTGAGGGGAACAAAGAGAAAAACAAGAATTTCCAGAGTATGTTAAATGTATTTGAAGCTGTTCAGTGTGGGCCTCCTTGATGCTTCAGTTTTGCTTTCAGTATGCCAAAGCAGCAAATTAAACCTGGAACTGTTCTGATAGCTAATAACAGTGTTCTGCTTTGTAGTTTTTATTTGACCAGCATCTATGATCATTCTATATTTGAAGCCTTCAGCAAGGTGGTACAGAAGCTCATTCCACAGTTGCCAACTTTGGAAAACCTGCTAAATATCTTTATATCAGTAAGTAGGTGTTGTACATGCACTTTAATTGTCATGTTTTTGTACCCTGCCCTGGGAACGTTTAGTGAAGATTAGGCAATGAATGCAATGACTTCTTTTTAAATGTTGCAGTAATGCTTTGTTGGGTCGGTAAGTGTATGAACTTGCTTAGAAGCTCTCATTTGGAAGACATATTGTTAAGAAATAATGAGTAACTGGCATACTTGGTTAGAACTTGGAACTACAGGCTTTTGCTTCAAAAACATGTGTAGTTCTCTGTGGGCTCCAGCAGTTGGGGAGCTCTCAAACCATGATCTATGCTAGACTTCTTCATTACAGCACCTGCAATAGCAGCTTGTGCTCAGTCAGGGCTCTTGTGAGCAAATAGCCTTTTTCTTCAGCTCTAGCCAGTGGCCAGATGTCCAATGGCATCTTAGAGGATGAGATGCTCTCTGCAAAGGGAAGATTTTGAAGGTGGGTTGGAGGTTCTATAGGCTTATATCCTCCGTAGACAGAATAATTGCATTTATTTATAATAAGACATTTTAATCAGCAAGAAAAAGATTTACGTCCCCTTAAGATTTAAGCTTCCACCTTTGCACTTTATATTTTTTAAAACAAGAGTCTAGTACAGGCTTCCTCAGACTCGGCCCTCCAGATGTTTTTGGCCTACAACCATGATCCCTACCTAGCAGGACCAGTGGTCAGGGATGATGGGAATTGTAGCCTCAAAACATCTGGAGGGCTGTGTAAAAGGGTAAGTTTTTATCCAACCTATTTACACCCCCCCCCCCGCAATGTGTATAATAAAACACCAGTGAAATAAAGCAAGCGCTTGTGCAGCATAATAGACTTGGGGGGGATTTAGCAGGCCTCCTAAAAGGCACAGCCAATATTTTCCTAAATAGTCAACTGATATCTTCGGAGATGGCAGCAAATGTGGACAAGACATTCCTCAAAGCAGAATCCACTACTAGAAAGCCTTGCTTGTTGCTTTATAAAAAGATAGCCAGTTATTTATTACCTTCTGAGCGTGTTTAGTTGTTTTGGGTTCCTTCATTTCAGACTGCAAAATGGACAACAGATGCCCCATCATTACCACCAGTTTGAAAATCAAACTGGTGGTATGGCTGTCAGTTTTGCAACTGGCACAGTGTGCTATTTGAAACACTGGCGGTGGTGTCTTTGAGGTAGGTTTGGCTAATGTGAGGCCACCATCTTCATTTCCTGCAAGAGATAGTGGTGGCTGCTTGGGTGTCTTTGAAAGGAGATCAGACAAATTTCTGGATGTCTGTGCTCTGCCTCCGCCATTGGAGGTAGTTTGCCTCTGGAAGCCAGTTGCTGAGAATCTCAAGTGGGAAGAGTATTGCTGCTCTTGCACTTGGGTCCTACCTTTCAGCTTCCCATTGGGGTATCTAGTTAACCACTGTGGAGAGAACAGGATGCTGGGCCAGATTTTGGCCTGATCCAGCAGCTGAGCTCTTCTTCCTTGCGTTCTTAGAGTGGGGATGAAAGGCCCCTTCCTGTCTGACCATCTGCCTTCAGTAAAAAAGTAAAACAAGAGTCGCCAGTAAGCTGAGAAATAGTTCAGTATGTGAGACAACCATTTTAACTTGTTTTTTCTTCTTGTAGAATTCTGGTATTGAAAAAGCTTTTCTCTTCGATGTCGTCAGCAAGATCTATATTGCAACGGATAGTTCGCCTGTTGATATGCAGTCATACGAGCTTTGTTGCGACATGATAGATGTAGTCATTGATGTTTCTTGTATATATGGGTAAGTACCATGTGGTGCTTCTGTGGCATTTCAGATAATCTTAAAGTAGCTTAGAGGGAAATCTGTTGTCAAATGTCATGAGAAAATGAAAACCTAGCATTGAGGAAGCTCTGGCTTTTGGAATATTGGGTGTGAAACTCAAACACATTTTCTGTATGATTTTGTTGCTATTAAGGAGGGGTACTAGAAATTGCAGTGTCTGTTTTGAGTGAGTGATGTAAAGTAGGAAGGTGTGTGGATGGATTCATGTGTAAATATTTTTCTGTATTTATGATGCTGAGACATTTTAATATATTCATTTGTACTGAATAATGAGGAAAACCTTTTGTATGCTGCCCATTCACATTATGCATCTTACAATCAGCTCCGACTCTTTTCCGTACTATTGCTAAACCTACTATTCCACACCCACACCCACCCACACCCCAGTCCCATACCTATGCATCTTATTTGCCTAAATATAGAACTCCCCCCCCCCCCGTTGAACTTCATTTTGTTTTGGCCCTTTTATCAAGGTTGCTTTGAATTTTCTTCTGGCCTTTGGAGGTGTTAGTCTTTGCAAATCTGATCAGAATTCCTTTCACCCTCCATCTAATTCAGTGGAGAGGACCAGACCAAGGTAGGGGCCTGCACTACCCCATTCCAAAACTTCTCTCCAGTTTGATGAGGAGCTGTTGGTGAGCATTTTCTTTTTGGCTTGTTTTACAACCAGCTGTGAATCTTCAGTCTTGCATTTAGCTAGCTTCTTCATCAGAATATCATGGTACATTGTTAAATGCTTTGCTGAACTCAAGATAAACGGTGTCCACAAGATTCTCACAATCCTCATTGCTGCTTAATGCCTCAGTCCAGTATTCAATTACTGTTAAAATGCTGCCTCAAAGTCCTTAGCTAATTGTGTGCCCTGAACAGTCCCTTCTGTCTCAAACAACCCTAGGCTCAAGGAGGATGGGAGTGGCAGTGCCTACGACAAGGAGTCCATGGCCATCATCAAGCTCAACAACACAACTGTGCTGTATTTAAAAGAAGTGACCAAGTTTCTGGCCTTGGTGTGCATCCTTAGAGAAGAAAGCTTTGAACGCAAAGGTGAGGAAGAAGATTGGTGTGTCCCACGATTGAGTGCCTGGGCTCCAGCTTCTATGGGGTCACACAAATCTGGTAATTGCAATTTGTGAAGAGTTGATCCTCTGTGAGCTGCACTCACCAAAATCCCCTTGGGGCAAGTTTTCAAATCTTCTCATTAGTCTTCTGCAACCTTGTTTATTTACAGTATTTATAGCCTAGAGTGGGGTAAAAAAGGTAAAGGGACCCCTGACTGTTAGGTCCAGTCGCGGACGACTCTGGGGTTGCAGCGCTCATCTCGCTTTACTGGCCGAGGGAGCCGGCGTACAGCTTCCAGGTCATGTGGCCAGCATGACTAAGCCGCTTTTGGTGAACCAGAGCAGCACATGGAAATGCTGTTTACCTTCCCGCCAGAGCGGTACCTATTTATCTACTTGCACTTTGATGTCCTTTCGAACTGCCAGATTGGCAGGAGCTGGGACCGAGCAACAGGAGCTCACCCCGTCACGGGGATTCAAACCGCCAACCTTCCGATCGGCAAGCCACCCACATCCCTCAGAGTGGGGTACAAGGAAATAAAAAGAAAGAGAAACAATATACAAAATTATATAAGCAGAATCAATAAATAACTACACAATCTATCATAAGGTACACAGGGAAAAGTTTTATGGTGTCAGTCCTCAAGTGGGAGCTGAGCAGTGTATGCCTGGGCTTGTGGTGCCAGCCTGGAAGAAGGGGGAAAGGGCTGCAAAGATTCAAGCAAAGGGCAGCAAGCCTAGGAGGGTGCTGAGAGAAAAGTTCCTTCTGCATGATGTGTTTTCAGTGCAATGTAAAACGTGATTGGAAGCTGTTGTTTTTTGTGTCCCTTGCATCAAATAGCTTGTGCTATTTGATGCCCTCCTTAGTGCTGCCCTCCTCATCTCTGCCTAGTGCTCCAGGGCCTCTGAAATCACATACTCTGCCCTAGACTCAACCTATATTAATTTTTCCAGGCTGGCTGACTCTAAAATCCATTTTGGATCACTTCCCCACTTCAAAAACCATGTTGCAGATCAAGGGCCCGTTTCTACATTTATCCTGTCCCAGTTATTCTTACTAAAGAAGCTCAGGTTTGGGCTTCCTTCCAACTTAATCTTTATTTGCCATGCAGTCTTTGCTGCTTGGATCCAAACCCTGAAGCAGCACGAGTGTCTGCCTGAGCATGTAAAGTTGCTCATCCTCCTGGGTTGTTGAGTTGTGTGTTGTTGTAGCTATTTGTGTCTCGACCAGATAGGCAGCCTGAGATGCTGGAAGAGCAGGGCCCCTTTCTAACATGCCTGTATACTGTCAGGCATGTTAAAACAAGAATAGGCATGTTTAGTCAACTGTGTTTTGGAATGCATTTGGCAGTAACTGTGATGCAGCTGTAGAGCTTCTGTCTGCTGCTGCGCAGAACAGCTGGGTCAAGGGGTTTACACCCAGAATGAATGGCAGAGGGTACTGAGGGTCTTCTGGTAAGTCAGGCTCCCAGATGAGGTTGTGCTTTGCCTTCTCTCGATTGTCACCTGTGGTTTGTTTCTCTTGCTCTCCCAGGTTTAATAGACTACAATTTCCACTGCTTCCGCAAGGCCATCCACGAGGTCTTTGAAGTGGGCATTTCCTCCCACCGATCCTGCAACCATCAAGCAAGCATCCCTGGTCTAAAAGCAGTGACTCATAACGGCACTCCTAGAAATGTCGTCTAGCGGAGGGGACCCAAGGCGGGTGGCCAAGTGTTCCCTGCTCCGTGTCCGTGTGTTGGGAATGGACAGCACAGAGAACTGGCTCCATACATTCCTGTGTGCGCATTCTGGAAGAGACGGGACTTTGCCTTGTGGAGCTGCAATCGTGGCAGGCGTGGCACAACTGAAATGGCCTGGAAGTGGAGCTGCTTCCTCCCCCGCTTCCACATCTCCCTTGATACAAAACAGGGCGTGGATGATTCCGGAACTGAGCTGTTTTGACACTCGGCATTGCTTGTGTTTTTTTAAACATGCATAGTGTTAGTGCATTTGCGTTTCAAAGAAATTGGCGTTCGTAAACTCAAACATGACAGCTTGTAGTTTAGTTTAGCGCAATTTCAAACATTCCATCCTTTGAGTTTTATCATATCATATTGCGGTTAACCCCTTAAAAAAATTCCATCTTCTGTGAAATGAATGTGATGCCAAGTGGTGCCATTTCCCTCTGCAGACCCACTGAGCGCAAAGCTCTCTTTTTATTGGAGAACAGGATAAAAGACAAGAATTGGCAACCTTAACTTCGTCGCTTGAAACTGGTTTAGAATATGCTTGTCTTGCATTCTCAAGCTTGTTGGCAGGCCACTTAACAATTTGCTGCAGCAGTTCCTGTACTTGTCCTTGAAGATGCTTTTTGTAGTAAATGATTCAAATTCTGCCCAGTTGTGGCTAATGTGTTTGGATTTAAGTGCGTTTTCCATATTTTGAAGCTATGCTTCAATTGCATAACAGGTTAGTTTTTGTGAAATATGGTGTGCAACTGAACTCTGGTTGCTAGAATTCTCTGTAGCTGCTCACCAGGCAAGGAAGTGCCTTTACCTCAAGGTCAGGAAGATACAAAGGCCTCCCTGAACTCCATATTCTGCACATATTCCATTGGATGGAAGCTCCCTTCCAACTCGTGTGTGGACTTTCCCTTGTGGCCTCGTGCACATCAGACAACGCTTGTATATTCCCAAGCCATGGAACCTTTTCTCTCCTCAGATGTCAATGTGGACGCGCCAAAGTTTTAACAGGGTGGCTGGTGTTGCCGGCAGCCGACTGTGTCCTTGCACTGTTCGGGAGGCGGGTGGCTCTTGTGGGATTCACTTCTCAGTAGTCCGCATTAATAAAATGCATTTTATCTTGACAGCTCTTTTCTCAGTTAAGTGCATGTGTGAATTGTTGGTTTTGGTGTCCATGCATGGACAGGGCATTGCAGGTCAGTACGCTATTCCTGATGAATTAATTGGGTAGTTGTAGCTGCCGACGGATGCCCTGCAGAAGCTATGCCTTCTGCTTTGCAACACTTGCAAGTGTGCTCCATGCCAAAAAATGGTGGCAATTGCTTGTTCCCTCATTAATACTGTGTCACTTCAACCACACTCTGGATGTTTTGAAATTTAAACTCTTTTAAATTTCTGAACAGTTTTTGGCGCTTTCAGAGCTTGGAAGTCTTTCCTCAAAGAACTCAGTGGAAAGGCAGGAGGTGTGGTGCTGATCAGGAGAAAGTGAATTTAGAGGCCTTGAGCAACTGCATAATGGTCTTTGCTTGGTCAGACCCAGGTCCGTCTGCTTTACTATTGAAGTGTAAGCTGTCCCCCGAGCTTTGCCTCCATTGTGCTTGGTACTCGCAAGCATGAAGCTTCTCTTTTGGCCAGTAGGATTAATAGCACTCTCCTTCATGGTCCTTCCTGAGAAAACCCCCAGTAAGCTGGCAACAAGTGAATTAGGTGGCAAGGAAGAAAGGACTCTGCTCTGTCCTGAGCCTGCCGCACAGATGGCTGATTGTGTGGTTCACATGATAGGTTTATCTCCATAGCACACTACTTTATACAGATGTGTTTAAAGCCAAGCAAGTATATATTTTTTTTAATGAATAGAAAACACTTAGGTATTTCTGCAAGCTCTGTTTTCCTAAAGATTCTCTGGATCACATCACTTTAGATTAGCCTCTAATTTGTATGCACCTTTCCACAAAATAAAATGTGCTCAAAGCAGCTTGTGATACACAGAAAGTAAAAACTAGATCTTTGAGGACTGACCTAAGTGGAATTAGATGAATTCATTGTACTGAAATAGCTAATAGCCATGGTATGTTGCTGGAACTGCCATATACTGTAGTGATAGCCCTCGGATGAAGAGCAGTATAGATATATTGTGAAGAGCTCTTTGACAGTGGAACTGTCCCCCTTGGAAGGTGGTGGATTCTCCTTCCTTGGAGGGCTTTAAGCAGAGGTTGGATGGCCATCCGTCAGGGATTATTGAGCAGGGATTCCTGCATTGCAGGGGATTGGACTAGATGACCCTTGGGATCTCTTCCAACTCTACAGTTCTATGATGGGCATATGCCCTCAAGTCCCAGGTGCTTGGGTTAAACAGGAAATGGTTATCCATCCCGGCTTGTGAGTTTTCCAGTTACCCCAAGCAGGGACCTTGATGGCACACATCTGTTCTGCAGGGTGGGCCTCCAACTCAAGCAGCCCCTACCGCTTCCATGCTTGCAGGAGGGGAAGAGCACCTGTCTCTCCTGCAAGCACCTGACACCTTCCTTGCACTACACAGTGTAAGGGAAGGGCATCATTTAGGCAAGCAGAAGAATCCACTTCCTGTGGAAGAGCACAACCTTGTTATTGGATACCCCACCACCTTTCTCTGGGGACAGGAATGGTGGATGGGAAGCATTCTGCCAAAAGTCTGCAACCTCTTTGAGTGAGGTTATTGCATTATTGCAGGCCTTAGAGGCTGACCTTTGGGCGAACTTAGGCAGCTTAGCAAAAAGAGACTTTGCCACCTGTCGACAGGTGTGTGCAGGGTGTGTTTGGGTCCCAGAGACTCGGGTGATATAAGGCTGGAAGGTAAGGGTGTTGGGAAGTGGATTTCCCCATTCAAGGAAACTGGGTGTAGGGTTTGCTGCAAGGTCGTTGTGGGAAGAGGCATGTTTGTGGCACCCCATGATTAGGAAGAACTTAGTGGGAAGCTGGCATAGCCCAGCAAGCACGTACTCTCTCCCCCTGACTTGGCACTTGTAAGATTGGCTGCCCTCCTAAATACAGTGGTACCTCGGGTTAAGAACTTAATTCGTTCTGGAGGTCTGTTCTTAACCTGAAACTGTTCTTAACCTGAAGCACCACTTTAGCTAATGGGGCTTCCTGCTGCTGCTGCTGCTGCTGCTGCGCTGCTGCTGCACGATTTCTGTTCTCACCCTGAAGCAAAGTTCTTAACCACTGTATTTTTATGTTTGTAAACTCAATAATTGAGGATTTTACCTTAATGCTCCCATGAAATGCCACAGGGCTCAAAAAGAAGCACACAGTGGTACCTGGGGTTACAGACGCTTCAGGTTACAGACTCCGCTAACCCAGAAATAGTACCTCAGGTTAAGAACTTTGCTTCAGGATGAGAACAGAAATCATGCTCTGGCGGTGCAGCGGCAGCAGGAGGCCCCATTAGCTAAAGTGGTGCTTCAGTTAAGAACAGTTTCAGGTTAAGAACAGACCTCCAGAACAAATTAAGTACTTAACCTGAGGTACCACTATAAAAGTTTAGTGTTCCATAAGATAAAATACATACTACAGAAAAATAGTAAGAATGCTGTCCTACATTCAGCTTATGGTATGGTTTATATGAGTTTTTATTGCTGTAAACCACTTTGATCTATTTTTATGATAATAGCGGTATTCAAATATTTTAATAAATAGATAAATGCACTCACCATATGCAGACACTCTATAGAAACTCATGCATATCTCCCCCCTCCCCATATCCTTCACATATACACAACTACACACATACATCTCGCCTTCTCTCACATCACATTTTCTCTTTCTTTCTTTCTTTCTTTCTTTCTTTCTTTCTTTCTTTCTTTCTTTCTTTTACACACAGCACAGATGTGTGAGTCTCTGCCCAAGTGCATCTCTTCTCCACCACCCTCATATACATCTACATTTCTCTCACATGCAGAGACAGATCTCTCTCTGTGTGTCTCACACAAACCACCATACAAACATGCCACTCTCAATCACTCAAGTCTCAATCAATCAATGGCCTGGACTCCAGGACTTCAGCAAAGAGTTGGACAAGAGTGGTGCCTTTGCAGCAGCAGCTGGGACTGATCTTGATAGAGCCCCCTTGGGTCTCTGGGCTGCAGAGTGGTCTGGCGAGGTTGGCACAAGGCAAAGTTTCCGAACCAGAGGTTGCTCTGGGGCTCGCCCCAATAATCAACTCCTTTCCCAATAACTTTTGCAGGCAGTTGGTTAGATCTAGCACTTGGGCCCCACACTTACATGTGACCTTTCTAGTCACCCAGGCCTTTTTAAACAACTTCTGTTTCAACTTCTGTCTGGGCCTTTCAAACACTGTTTTGTGTGTTAATTGGTGGTTTTATTTTATATCGTATTTTTTGTTTCTTTTTGTAAGCATCTCTAAGAAAATCTTCTATGGGTTGGCTCTGGCTATAGCTCAGTGAGCAGAGCATGAGACTCTTAATTCTCAAGGTTGTGGGTTCAAGCCCCACATTGGGCAAAAGATTCCTGCATTGCAGGGGGTTGGGCTAGATGACCCTTGTTGTCCCTTCCAACTCTACAATTCTATGATTCTTATGTATGCAGTAAATAAATGTGACCAGCTTAGTCTGGTATATTTTGGGAACCACCTAAATCTGGGTGGCTCCAGGGCGAGGAAGAAATCTTGTTTCTGCCATTCACCCACAAGGTGGCAATGCTGCTCTGTGTATGTGTCTTGAGCCGACAGGCTCATTCCAAGGCAGAAAGGAGCTTTTCCTGGCTGATACCCTGGTCGTCCTTTGCTCAACTGCTGATGATCAAAGCCTTGATTGGAGGGTTACACCAGAGGCTGCTTGCCTGCCCCTTCACTTTTGGCACCTGTTCGGGGGACCCCTTCCGTCTTGTGCCTGGAACTCCTGTGGGCCTGGCAACATCCCACATGGGGCGGGTTCCCATTTGCGTGAGACCTGACTCGCTCCGGTGGCATAAAAAGGCCGAGGGATAGCTGGAAAGGGTTCCACGACAGGCCAGGAATGGGTAACAAAGCCAAGTGACAGATATGAGTGGCTCTTTTGTCTTGTTGGTGTGAAGTGTTAGGTTTCAACCTTTCTGGAAGCACAAGCAGCGGTGGGGTTTTCCTTCAGAACAAAAGTGCTCAGGCAGAGAGAGTCCAGAGCTTTCACCCTCCCACCATCCCAGAAATTGCCCAAGGGGTTGCCCACATGTCAACAAGGCTTTCTTTTAGCTGCACTCGGCAGAAATCTTCTAGGGTCACTTTGGCCCAGGCAAATGCTTCACATTTTACGTACATTGTTGGCATCAGCTTAGTAAGATAAATGCTGGTGGCTGAGGCAAAGGGCAGCTTTGCAAAGCTACGTGGTCCCTTCATTGATGGGAGATTATTTAGGTAGCAAAGCCCAAGGCTGCCAAGGCCGCAGGACCAGTTTGGCACTTGGCCTGAATTCTCCAGTGTTCTGCTCTCTACTGAAGTGTTGGGAGCTCTCGGGGTCCCCCCATAATAGAATCTACCGCAGGAGCCCTTTGGGCTTCTTGATCTCCCTTAATCATTGAGGCAGACTGTGGGTGCTCTGGCCGGGGCTCATGGCTCAGTGCTAGAACTCTCCCTCTGAACATCCTTGACCTTGGCTCTTGTTTTGCAGGAGAGGTGCTTGGCTTGCCTCTTCTACTTGGAAGGCATTTGAGCAGCAATACTCATTGCCATGTTTGAAATGTGTGGGTCTTCCCAGATCACAATTGCTTTTGGGAGTGTGTTTATTTTTAAACACCTCCTGCTTTGATTGCCTCCTGCTGAGGGTTTTTCTTGCTTAGGGTGCCGCTCTTCCAAACTTAGGTGGGATTGTGTGACTGTCTGCTTCAGTCCTTCTCTGTCGCCTTGCAGTTTGGCTGCAAATCCAAGCCCAGCCGGATGGTAGCTTTCTGGGATGTCTCTGCATGCTGAGTCGGCTCTGCCCATTGGCTTCTGTCGTGGTGCCAACAGTTAGTTGAGATGTACTTTTTTTAAACACCCCAATTTCATCATTTCACAGAAGGAGCGATCGATAATTCTCAAGTTAACAGTTCTTGTTTAAAGCTCTGCCCCTGCTGTGCAATGAAAGCAGACAACTTCCCTTGGCTCAAAACGGCT